TTTGGGAGGCCGAGGTGGGCGGATCATGAGGTCAGGAGATCAAGACCATTCTGGCCAATGAGGTGAAACCCTGTCTCTACTAAAAATACAAAAAAAAAAAAAAAATTAGCTGGGCATGGTGGCACGTGCCTGTAGTCCCAGCTACTAAGGAGGCTGAGGCAGGAGAATTGCTTGAACCTGGGAGGCAGAGGTTGCAGTGAGCCGAGATCACACCACTGCACTCCAGCCTGGGAGACAGAGCAAGACTCCATGTCAAAAAAAATAAAAAATAACAAATAAAAATAAAATAAATAAATAAAATGATCCTATCAGTTTAATCTCATGCATACTTCCCGTCTCTCTCCCTGACTGCCCTAAGGAGGAGGCTAGTGACCCAGGACTCACACTGGTCTGTCTATCGGGTGGTATCCTCATGATAGTCACACAGGTGTGGCAGTCTGAAGAGAAGTGTCTTCCCTACGTGTGTGCCAGTGTTGACCTTGGCTGGGACACTTCCTTTTGTTATAAAACCAGCAGATTGGTCCAGGTGACCTGAGGTTCCTCCCAGCTCAAATATTTCAGGATTTTATGATTCAGAAGCATAAATCATTAGGCCAGGAACTTTACAAATCCTGTTGATCACCTGAGGTTATAAAGTGTTATTGTTATCTTGCTCATTGTATGATTTGGGAAGAGGGAGATTATGTCTCCTACATTAAAGAGAAGTATGTGTCATACAACAGGATTTGTTGCTTTATTTTTTAAATCCAGCCAGATTAACATTTGAATCTGAGGAGAGAGGCAGATTTTCTAAGAAAGCATCTGAAAATGCTCCAGATGATCTTTTAATTTAATTGGTATTATGTAAGATTATATATATATGTAATGTAATATATGTGTCTCCTATTTGCAAATGGTGAAGCACAAAAATATTTAAAAATAACACTCTTAGCCAGGCATGGTGGCACATGCCTATAATCTCAGCTAGTCGGGAGGCTGAGGCAGGACAATCGCTTGAACCTGGGGAATGGAGGTTGCTGTGAGCCAAGATCGCGCCACTGCACTCCAGCCTGGGCAACAGAGTGAGACTCTGTCTCAAATAAATAAATAAATATTAAAATTAAAAACAACACCCACAAGCCTACCACTGGACTGAAGAAACAGAACATAATGGATCCCACTAAGAGTGAAACAGGCATCTCCCTGATCAATTACCCACTTCTCCCCAAAGATAACCACCTTGATTTTGCATTATCATTCCCTTGCCTTTTTCTTTTTCTTTTTTTTTTTTTTTTTTTTTTTTTTTTTGAGACGGAGTCTCGCTCTGTCACCCAGGCTGGAGTGCGGTGACCGGATCTCAGCTCACTGCAAGCTCCGCCTCCCGGGTTCACGCCATTCTCCTGCCTCAGCCTCCCGAGTAGCCGGGACTACAGGCGCCGCCACCTCGCCCGGCTAGTTTTTTGTATTTTTTAGTAGAGACGGGGTTTCACCGTGTTAGCCAGGATGGTCTCGATCTCCTGACCTCGTGATCCGCCCGTCTCGGCCTCCCAAAGTGCTGGGATTACAGGCGTGAGCCACCGCGCCCGGCCTCTTTTTCAAACTGGCTTAACTTTGTGAAATAGAATCTATGTATAAACGCATGTATAACACATACATGTAATCATCCAATAACTACAAAGTGATTTCCTTTGCAACTGCCCCCCCTGAGTCTCCTGACCCTCTCTCACCTTTCCTCAGCACATGTGGCAATGCTTGGCTTTTATTCAAGATGATCACCTTCTTGCTTTTTGTCATCATTTTACTTCTCAGCTGGGTGTCACTAAATAACTCATTGCTTAGTGTGCTTGTGTTTTGAGCTTTTACAATTGCCTTAGCAGTTCTCCATGGAGATGCTAGGATTCTCTATGCCGCAACTGCAGCCTAGAAACCCAGGTGAGAGATCCAGGCTGCACTCTGGTGTTACAGTGATAGCAGAAGGTGAGTAATAATAAAAACCATCAGTCCTATTTATGGTGTGCCCCCACCATGCCGGGCGTTCTGCTAAGCATCATCCCCAGTTACCTCACTTATCCTCACAGCAAGCCCGAAAGGGAAGTATTTAGAGAGGACAGAATTAAGGCATCAGCTTCCCGAAGCTGTCTCCCATCCACTTCATAGCTGCTCAGCCCCAGAACATCATCCCTCAGTCCTAAAGCAAAGGTTCCTTTTGGGATGGGAGGGTCAGGAAACACTATTGCTCCTGGGTTCCTATCTTTGTGGTCCAGTCGGGCTGCTTTAGGAATATATATATATTCAGAATCCATATTATTTTCCAGCAAGTACTGATGACCTAATGAAGATAAGCATCCTGTCTGGTCGGTACTGTTTTTCCAGTGATGAATGTACAACATTGTCCTTGGATTGTCTAGGAGAGGCCGTGTGGTATCAGGAAGAGCATCAGGTCAAAAGCCCTGAGTTCTAATCCTGGCTCTACCACATCCAGCCATGGATATCAGCCTCCTCATCTGTAAACGGGCCAGCAGTGACAGCCTTGCCTGCTGCCAGATCCTAGGAGGTGAGAGGCAGGAAGTGCTTTGGAAGTCCCCATTGACACATCTGAGTCCCTCTGTAGCTTCTCTAGAACCTCCTGCCTTCCCCGGGGCCAAGGGCCAGCTTTCAGTGCTGGAAGGACTGTGAGGGGGGTGAGCCAGGACCACTCACCATTGACAGACAAGGGGAAATCAAGGTAGGGAGAGGAGGGGCAGAGCAGAGGGGAACCCAGGTATCCTGATGAGGCCCCTTCGCCTCAAACTGTGACACCTTCTCACATGTGCTGTGTCTGACATCATATGAGATGCTGATCAGGACAAAGCTCGTTTAGTGCTCATGACGCCCTGCAAGGCAACACCTGCTGTGCTATGGTTAGCCCCTTTCCATGGGGAAGGACGCTGAAGCTCTGAAAGGTGAAGCAACTTTCCCAAGGCTACACAGCCAGGAGCTGGCTAAGGCAGGACTGGACTCAGGCAATCCAACTTGACTGCCCTCATTCCTAACAGCTGGACAGTGCAGGAGACCTCGCTGCCCAGTGGGTTCCCAAAGCCTCCAGGGTGATTTTAAGGTTGAGCTGGGCCTGCCCAGTCTTGCCTCCCGGGGCCACCAAGCCAGAGCCCCCGGCAGCCTGCTCCAGGCTGCGTCACAAGGCAAAGGGGCTGCCCAGGCATGGCCAGGTCCATGGCTGCTGGAGAGCATGCAAAGCACCGGGGCAGGAGGGTTGTTCCCATGGAGACAGAAAGGACTCCAACTCACCCTGAAGTGCACCTGCAGGGAGCCAGGTGCCAGGTGCCAGGTGCCAGACTGTACCTGGAGGCAGAAACCTGAGCCTGGATTCTCACCACTTCCCTCTGTGCCACCAACACATCCTCAGGTCTTCTCCTCAGGACCCCCAGCAAGACACAAGTTCCAGAAATAAGACATCCCAGCCCACTTCCCGCTCAGCCACCCCCAGAGGGGCCTCTCTGGTTGAAAACAACGCCCGGGGCCAGCAGGCTTGGCACAGCTGTGGCTGTCAGCCTGCCGAGTGCTGTCCGGCCTGAGGAATGTGCAGACCCACATGTGCTGGAGCGTCCCGCTGGGGCACAGTGACAGGAAACTGAGCAAAACAGCTCGTTGGCACTGGTACGCCCCTCCCACCTCCCAGCTCCTGACTCCTGTGGGCTGTTAGCTGCCCTGGAAGTGCAGGCGGCAAGGCCAGGCCCTTTAAGAGAGCCAGGCAGTGTGGCTCTGGGCAAATCACTCCCCCTCTCTGGGTCTGTTTCTGCTTCTCTTGGTGGATGAGGGAGGCTGTCCTGCCAAGCTCAGAACGGCAGTGATTTTGACTTGCTCTCCTTTCTGGGAGGACGGTCCATTCTCCTCATGCCCTCATTCACGTGGGATGGGGCATGCCCCCAAGACACATCAGGTTATCCCACTAGCAGCCCTTGGCTGTAGACAGCCCCTGCACCCAGTGCTGGGATAAGGGTAACTCTTCAGAGTTGAAAGGGGTGACCAGGGACCTGGGAAAGAGTCCCAGGGCAGCCCACGGTTGGAGCTTCAGGGCCAAAGTGGTTAACTAAAAATATTCATTATCACCCCGCCCAGGCTGGAGGCCCTGGCTTCCAATTTTGAAGCAGAAGTCAGCTGGGCGGTGTAGGACACTGCTCCTGGGTTGACCAATGGGCCACATCAATGGGTCTGCTGTTTGGGGTCAAGATCCCAAGACCCCAAGGGAAGTCAACATCCATCTGAGGCTCTCTCAGGCCCTGCAAGCCATCTCTGGCCTCACTGCCCTCCCCTTTAGAAATGTGGGAATGAGGCTCAGAGAGGTTGAGCTGCTTGTCAAGTTTGCACAGCCAAGAGGCGTCAGAATAAAACTGAGCATTCGGGGTTGGACTTCCCCTCCTTGCCGCCTGCTCTGCTCTCCCAGACACTACTGAGCGCGCTCACGGTCGCCAGGAGCGGGTCGGGCCCCCGCCGCGCGCAATCCTTGGTGACAGGTCAGCCTGCCCCTAGGGGAGGCAGAGGGAAGCCCCGAGGAGGCACCCGGCCCGCCTGGGACGTGCTGCCCCGGGCTTTAGGGCTTTTTCTTGCGGGCCGAAGCTCCCCGGGGTTGAAAGGAAAGGCTCGGGAATTTCGCAGCCAGCACGGAACGGTTGGATTTAAACTAAAAATACCCGCCCGCCCGCAGCTGTCACGCCGGAGCCCCCGCCCCCGCGCCGGGCGCGCCTCCCCAGGTCCCCCAGACTTTCGGCGCCCCGGATCCCCGGGGCTGTGTCAGAGCTGGGCCGGGGGCTGAGGACCCCACCCGCCCAGGCCCCGGCCCCCGGCCTGGCCTCCCGGCCCCGTGCCACTTACCCGCCCGGAGCGTGGAGGAGCGCGGCGCCGCGGGTAGCTGGGGCCGAGCCTCTTTCCCTCCTCCCTGCGTCCCGGGCGGCTCCGGGGCGGGGCAGGGCTGGGGCGGGCCCGGACACCGCGAGTACCCCCGCCCCCGCCGGGGCCCGCCCGGTGGCCCCGCGGGAGAGGCCGCGCCCCTCTCCGCACGCGCTCAACGGAGGCCCCGGGTGCGCAACCCCAGCCCGGCGGACACCCTGCGTGGCCCCGGGTACCAGGGCCGAGGAAGAGCCTTACCGCTCCCTGTCGCGGACCCGGGGCGGGGGTTAAGGGGGTGTCCTGTCCACGGTGGCCTGGAAAGCAGCCCGGAGCCCTGGTCCCTGTCTGTCTTCCCGACACACACACAGCCACCGTCCCTTTTCTCATTCTAGGGAATGGCGCGGAGCTGCCTCTCCCCCGGGAAAGTTGGATCTGTGCGCCCAGACTTGGAAAAGGGATTAGGACGCCGGCAGATCTTGCCCTCACAGAGCAGAGGTGGGGGCCTAGGAAGGGGCACATCGCCCAGAGGCGCGAAATCCAAGAAGAAAATGACACCCATCAGCTAGCCTCACGCGGGAAGAAAGGGCGGGGTGGTTGGGGCGGGGGGACTGGCACCCTGCCCATCCTCTCCCACTCCACAGTTCGGGCCCACAGTCCGGGAGTCGCAAGGAATGTGAATCACCAGGCATAATGTGAACCCCCAACAAACCCAAGGCCTCAGAATGCTCCTCCCCTCTCCCTCCCCATCCAGCAGAAACATCCTCCCCTCCTTCCAACCTCTGCTCCAGCCATGCCAACCCTTTAACCTTGTCCCAGAATGTCTAAACCGTATCTGCCTCTGTGCCTGTGCACATGAGGTTGCCTTGGCCTGGGGTTTGCTCCACAGTCTTCTGCCAAACTCCTACTGCTTGGTGGCTGGAAGCCTTTGCACCCTGGCGCTCTCTCCCTCTCCTCCCAGGTCAGCAGTCACTGGCCTTCCTGTGCATCCAGCCCGGCTTTGAACAGCCCTGGGCCCCAGTTCTTATCTTTTTCCGAGTAATTACATAGTTGCATGATTGACTCCACCGGCTCTGGATCAGATGAGCGCCACTAATGAGGGATACAAGTTGTAAAACTAGGTTTTACGTGAACTCCAGTCATCACAATTTAGGTGCGGCTAGCGATTTTACAGATGAGGAGTTAGTAACTGACCCAAATCCAGTGCTTCCGGGATGCCGTTTTCCTTTTTTGTTTCTTAGCAGGGATGTCAGATGTTTGCAGAACAGATCGTGTAAAAGTCAGTATCCTAAGAGATTAAATTGTAAAGCAGGACAAGATAGTTAATGGAGTGTGTGTGTGTGCGTATGTCTTTTCGAAATTGAGAGGGAGGTAGAAGAATTAGCCAAACCCCAGGATTCACTCTGAGGTAGACCCACACATCTTAGTTAGATCCCATTTATTAAGCTGTAATTATTCACAGCATTGCTGAAGACATACACAAGACCCCTCCCATCTCCCTGCGACTGACTGGTTCCAAGTATGCTATTATACGTGTTATTATCACTGTGACTCAATTAGGAGTGCTGCCGCAGGCCTTGAGGTTACCACAGTCAAACTGCAGGTGCAGGCGGTGAGTAACAATGATTATAATGCCTGCATCTGGATCATGCTTTTTGCTTTTCAGAATGCTTTCAAATGTGTCTCCTCATTAAATCTCTGCAAACATCCTCCAGGTAGTTAGGAAAAGTTTAATGAGTTTCGCCTGACAAGGGAAACCAAGGCACAAAGCGGGCAGGTGATTTGCACAAGGAGAGAGATGGCTCCCCCAGGCTGCTCCGAGGGTGGAGCAGGCCGCTGTAACTCCATGTCCTGCAGGAAGAGATGGCTGAGTATAGTTGGGAGCTCAGGCTCTAGTGACAAAGTGCCCAATTTGCAACTTTCAGCTGATTACTCATACTTGGTTTCCTTTTCTGTTAAATAGATCTAATAATAGGAGCTTATCTTGTATGGTTTTGTGCCTGGTATTTGAGCACCCAGCTCAGGTGAGCTGTTATGTTATGGTTCTGGGAATGGTATGACTGCTGCAGTTTCTGGCACACAGCTATTCAGTCTTTCGTCAAAAATTCCTGCGTATCTACTATGTGCCAGCCTCTGGGAATACGAGGACGAATGAGGCACAGACTACTACCTCCAAGAAGGTCGGGGTGTAATAATTCTGTGTCAGGGCACCATGGTGCACAGAGACGAACTGTCCCTCCTGCTGCTGGTGCAGTGCAGAGCACCAGTTCAGAGCAGGGGAGATATTCACTTTCCTGGTCAAGCTTTGCTACTTATTTAGCTGAGTGAATCTTACAATGTAAGACTGACTTACACATACAGTGTACACATACAGTGTAATCTTACACTGAATGTGACCTCTTACAACATTGGTTTTTCTCATGTTAGATGGGGATAGTAACAATTTTTCATGGGTGAAAACACATGTGATAAACATATTTTATGAAATGCAAAATACTGTGCAGATAGTTTTATTATTATCAACGTGATTGTTATTATCTTGGGCTTTACAGGGCTTGCTGCTTTTCAGAATACTCTCCCATTCCATTGCTTTTCTTAGACAGAGTCTCGCGCTATCACCCAGGCTGGAGTGCAGTGCTGCAAACTTGACTCACTGCAACCTCCACCTCCCCGATTCAAGCAATTCTCGTGCCTCAGCCACTTGAATACCTGGGACTACAGACATGCACCACCACGCTCAGCTAATTTTTTGTATTTTTAGTAGAGACAGGGTTTCACCATGTTGGCCAGCCTGGTCTCGAATTCCTGACCTCAAGAGATCCGACCGCTTGGCCTCCCAAAGTGCTGGAATTACAGGTGTGAGCCACCATGCCCGGCCATCCATTACTTTTCTTAAGCCTGACATAAACATTACATCAAAAACAGAACCCTATTTTTTATTTGATGCCAGTCTTTTTCCTCTCCCAAGTAGTCCATATGGAAGAAAAACAGAAGTTGAGTAAGCAATACGAAGGGATGGGGCAGTTTGCAACTAGGAAGTCCACAGTGCCTTAGTCCTCAGCATTACCTGCAGCTACAGAAGGGGGTGGACATGAAAACCTATCTGGAAAAAAAATCTGGCAAAGGATTGGGGGAAAAGCCCCTTTGTCATCTCTGGAATTGAACACAGGAAACCCCGCCCTGAGACCTTCCTTTCAGAAGCAGCCCAGAGAGAGAACCACAAGAAGGGCACTAAAATTATGCTGTTCGGAAGTTCTGACTCACTTGGCAGTGGGGGCTGTTTGTGCAACATACCAAAAAGCGAAGTTTTTACCACTCTTTCCCTGTGTCTGTTCCCTGCAGCCAGCATCTCCACCACCACTCATGGGGAAGCAGGAATCAATTTAATAAGCCTGGGGAAATTATCTGGGTCTGTTTCACATTTGCTGTTGGTTAGCCAGCCTCAACAGCAATCTGCACAATCCTCATTTTGTAAGCATGATGTTTTCAGTTTGCGTGTGTGTGTTCAGTCTCCACAGATAGATTACAGCAAAAGCTGCAATGGCTTTTCTGGCTAATAAAGCACCTCGTGGGTAAACTGAGGCAAGAGAGTAGGAAGGAGGGACATTGCCCACGGTCCCAGGATAGGAATTGCTGTTCAGAACATTTACATTCCCATCTCTCCGTCTCTAGCCTGGCTTCCCACTTAGTGGTGAGGTACATAAGTGCTTTCAGCTTAGCACGGATGAAAAGCTCACATTAAGGGTGCCCACTTCTGGGGTGCCCCATCGGAGAGGTCTTGGTTTGAGCCTGGAGAGCTGGTTCTCATCCCAGTTCTGCTCTAAACTTTTCCTTCTTCTTTGTTTTTTCTTTGCCAGTTCTCCAAGTGTTAGCCTGTCCTTCCCTACTCGGGTGCTACATGTGCTTCTAGGGTGAGCACATCCAGCACCCTGGTTTCTTCACTTCTCCATGGGCAGCTGCCACCCATCAACGGAGCAGGGGCACCCCTCTGGGTGGCAATGAGTCATCTCAGTACCAAGCAGGGTAACTGCAGTAACTCAGAATATTCCTCTATGTACATTTAATTGTGCTGCATTTATAAAATACAATTGTGTATAAAATACAGGACTGGATTCTCAGATGATGGGGTTCTAACCCTTGTTAAGGCTGCTAACTAGCTGTGTAACCTTGGGTCACTTCTGAGTTTTTGAATATGTGAGAGAATTGGAAAAGATTTTCTCTAAATTATTCCCCCAATTTAAGTAACTATAAGAAATATATACATATACACACACATAGTATTATATACAATGTAATATATAATAATGCAATAAATACATTATGATATATACTGTGTATACATATATCACCATATATACATTTTTTTTATATATATATAGTATTGGCCAGGTGCAGTGGCTCACTCCTCTAATCCCAGCAGTTTGGGAGGCCAACGTGGGACGGTCGCTTGAGCCCGGGAGGTCAAGACCAGTCTAGGCAACATGGTGAGACCCCATCTCTACAAATAAATAAATAAAATTATCCAGACAGGGTGTTGCATGCCTGGTCTCAGCTACTTGGAGCTGAGGCAGGAGGACTGCCTAGGCCTGGGAGGTCAAGGCTGCAGTGAGCCATGATTGTGCCACTACATTCCAGCCTGGGTGACAGAGTGAGACCCTGTCTCTCTTTCTCTCCATATATATCTTTTTGAAAACAGAGGAATCTTGTTTGTATTAAACAATCATCATTTAACATAACTAAACACTGCTACTATTATACTCCAAGGAGTAAATACTAATATAAACAAAAGTGTTAAAGGACAATTGATACATTTTATTCCTAAAAAATAAAATCTGGCCGGGTGCAGTGGCTCATGCCTGTAATCCCAGCACTTTGGGAGGCCGAGGTGGGTGGATCGCCTGAGGTCAGGAGTTCAAGACCAGCCTGGCCAACATGGTGAAACCCCATCTCTCTTAAAAATACACAAACACAAAAAAAAGTAGTCGGGTGTGATGGCGGGTGCCTGTAATCCCAGCTACTCAGGAGGCTGAGGCGGAAGAATTGCTTGAACCTAGGAGGCAGAGGTTGCAATAAGACGAGATCACGCCACGGCACTCCAGCCTGGGTGACAAAGCAAGACTCCATCTCAAAAAAAAAAAAAAAAAAAAAACCAAAACCAGAAAATAAAAAATATACAAAATCCTTCTCGAAGAGGTTTGCCATGTTTCTCCCAACAGTGGGAAGCCTGGTCTACTTTTTCTGCTTCTGTTGGGACTACTTTAAATGTATGTGGGTTTTTTGTGTAATTAAATGTTTTGAGACCACTGTAAATTAACCTGCAGTTGTAAGAAATCATACAGAGAGGTCCTCATATACTTTACCCGGTTTCCCCCGATGGCAGCATCTTACAAAACAATGGTACAGTATCACAGCTAGGATACTGACAGACACCAACACGACACAAAACACTTCCATCTCAAGGATCCCGCACGCTGCTCTTCCCCCCTTTTCCATTCCCTCCTTAAACTCTGGCAGCCACTCCTCTGTTCTGCTTTCTATAATTCTGTCACTTCAAGAATGTAAGAATAACGGAATCACACAGTGGGACTGCCCTTCTCCACTCAGTGCAGTTCTCTGGAGCGTCACCCAAGCTGGTTCCTGTATCGAGTCTGTGCCTCCTCATTGCCGAGCAGCAATCCATGGTGTGATGGATGCATCACTGGCTGGGTCACCCTTCCCTTGTTGAAGGACATCCAAGTTGTTCCTGGTTTTTGGCTATTATCAATAAAGCTGCTATAAACGTTTTGTGTGCACATCTGTGTCAATATACATCTTCACATCTTAAATTTCAGCTGCTGGATCTAATACCCACTTACAATCCCACAACACTGGATTTTTCCTACTTTTTCCTAGTGATGAACACAGCTAGTGATGAAAGATGTTTAAGGGTCCAACAGTTGCCCTGGACTGGGTCTTGAGTTGTGGAAATCTAACAAAAGCCAGTTACAGGGTTCCTGCCATCAAGGAATTTAGAGTCTGTTGGGGAAGCAACATTAAGACACATGAATCATTCATGGAGCTAAGTAATGCTGCATGTCCGTCATATGTGAGACTGCACGGTACAAAACTGACTTGTAGAGGAATCCAGAGACAGGAGAGAGAAGGGAAGGCACGAGTGTTTGGGAGTCCTCTGGATAAGATGTGAGATATATCTCAAATGATGGAGACAAATAATGATATTTTATGTTTATTAAGGGCTTACCTACCATCTGCCACACACTGTTCTAAGCCTTTACCTATATTATTAATTTAATCCTCATCACCACCCTTCAGGATAGCTCCTATTATCATCCCATTTCCCAAATGAGGGAAAAACGGTGAAAACTTGGCCATTCACCCAGCTATTATGTGACTCACCTAGGGTCCACACGCAGGCAGTCTGACCCCAGCGCCCACTTCATCGCTGTGGATTCTGTCTCATAGCAATAGTGGTCACGATTCAATTCCAATGTGTTTCTTGGGTTATATTTTCCACACACAGCATATGCTACAGCTATGCTGAGCCTTCTGGGGGAAGGTTATTGATAAGTTCAAATACTTTTCAAACAAACCAGCACCACTGTTAGTAACATAACAGGTGAGAAGTCTGTGTGTGATGTATCTGCTGGTGTGTGTGTGTGTGTGTGTGTAAACATCAAGGCTGAAGCCTCCAGTTGTGTAGATTATCTGCATATGCAGCAAAACACGCACACACCACACACATCAAAGTTCCCAGCTCTATATGGTAAAACATAGAGGCAGCTGAGCCCATTTCAGATAATGAATGTGGTTTTGTATTCTCTGAATTGCTACATACCAGGAAAGTCACTTCCAGGCTCAGCTACCTCCTGGGTTGCTAAACACACAAGATGTGTGATCGCGCTTCACTCACAGCACTGATGGCTGCTCACCCTTTGAGCTGTATCATTTTGGTTAAAACAACAGCATACTACGAGCCTGGCATGTTTGCTTGTTTTTGTTTTGAAATCTAAACGCAGCCTTGATAATGTCGGTGTTTCCATCGATGGGGTGGGTGGCAGAATGAAAATCTCCCTGGATCCACCTCTCCTGACTTGCTGTCTTTCTGGGCTCTGCATTTCCCAGTCGGCTGGCAGAGGTGAGCCATCTCACCTCCTCCCGTCTCTACATTTAGAAAATGGGGCCAGTTCTTCCTGTTTTCCCTGTAAGAGCAGCCATGAGATTCACATAAAGATGATGAAATGCACTACAAACTTGAGGTTCTGTGCAAATGTGTACTACTATTGTAAATTAAATCCTTCACTTTACTATGCTTTCAAAGAATGTTTCACGACAGACACCAACTCAGGAAGAGTCTGTGAGTAAGGAAGACTTTCCCACTAAGGAGGAAAATGAAGCTTTCATTATTTTTTCTTTTTTTATCCCTGGAGATACGTTTTTGAACATTGCTCAAGCGTTCTCTCCTTGCTTTGACAAGTGTGACTGTTCTGAACACGTGATCATATTAGAATCGCTGTGTGATAGGCAGAGTGCCCAGGAAGCCGGGGAGGCTCTGAGCCCAGCCCTGGCAGACACGCAGAGGCGTGGCCTTGGCACCCTCCTTAGGGCAGCGGAACCCATGCAGGGCACCTGCACCACCCCCACCCATCCCATATGAGCAGCCGGCGCTTGGCTCTTCCGGAAAGCCCACACTTGGGGCCCAGCCCTGTCCCTCTATCCGAGCAGCAGGGGCTGGTAAATGCCAAATAGGTCCACGTATCTCATAAAACCTGCTGCTCTTGATGACAATTCTTGACGGCCCAGGACACTTCCCTAACAGAGAAAGTTGTTTCATCGTTGTAGCCTAGTTCCAAAACCTTAGAATCTTATAGCCAACACCTGGCACGGAACACATGCAGAACAAACGTTTCCCAACCGGACTGCCGCACGTCCTTGCAGTGGTAATAGCAGCAGCACCTGGCCTAAGATGTTAAAGAATTTTTATCTTAAATTTCTTCTTTGATGTTATAGACTTGGTATGCAGAGAAAAATGGCCAGTGTCACTCAATGCACCTCCTAGTTAATTAAAAAGCCCTATTCAGCAGACAGAAGCAACCTCTATAAATAGGCAAGAGGTGTCCTCAGGTATTTTTCAAAGCTCTCGGCTAGCACCATGCCAGTGGGATGAGTGCACCAGCTTCAGCAATCGAGCTTGTTTCATCATCCAAACGGAAACATTTCTGCAAAATGACTGAACTCCATCTGCCCTGCTCACTAACTACAGAAATGGCCTAAAATAAGGGTTCACACACAGACAAAGGTAACAGCCAGAAGACACTTGACAAATTCACTGGCCCAACTCTATCATGTTACAGAGCCCCTTACACGTGAAGTGAAGCGCGCAAGGGCAGCAAACACTGATTGCATCAGCCCACACTGTGTTTACCTCCATTACCAAATCCACAAGACCCTGGGCCCTAAGCTGGCTTCTCTCTGTGGCTTCCTTTTTTTTTTTTTTTTTTTTTTTTTAAGAGACAGCCTTGCTCTGTTGCCCAGGCTGGAGTGCCATGGTACAATCACAGTTCACTGCAGTCTAGAACTCCTGGGCTAAAGTTATCCTCCCACCTCAGCCTCCCAAGTAGCTAGGACTATAGGCACACACAACTGCTCCCAACTAACTTATAACTTTTTCTACAGACAGGGCCTCACTATGTTGCCCAGACCAGTCTAGAACACATGGCCTCAAGCAATCCTCCTGCCTCAGCCTCCCAAAGTGCTGGGACTACAGGTGTGAGCCCCCACGCCCAGGCCCTCTGTGGCTTCTGGTAAATTCCTCTTCCGCAAATCACTTGCTCCCAGTTCTCCTCATGGCCTGTCCTTCCCCAGTTATATGCTTTCCCCCGGCTTTCTTCTCTGCACTCCTTCTTGCCCTCCCTGCCCAAATCTCCTTTATCAATAGATCCAGACCTGTAGAGGCGATAATATGCATAATCTCTCCTTTATTTCAGACATAACCAGATGATTTAGATGCTCCTCAGGCACCTGGAAACAAATGCCCAAAAGTAATTCCTGACCTTACCTTTCCAATCCTCCTTCCCCCTCCCGCTGTATTCCCTGCATCAGCAAGTGTAGTCAGTGGCTAAGCAAAAACCCAGGAATAAGCCTGAATCTCCCCTTCCTCCCAGCCCCCTCCCCAGTCAGCCAGTCACCAAATTCCATCATCCCTACCTTCAAAGAACTCAGCTTGCAGTGGTGCCCTTCCCCTGTGCCCCCCACCACAATAGCTGCAAAAGTTAAATCTGATGACCCTCTTCTAAGTGGCCCCGTTAGCTCAGCCACCTCCAATGCATCCACACTCCTGCAGGGTGATCTCTCAAGCACTCGGCAGCTTACACTCCTCCTGGGACTTTCCCTTATCCAGAGGAGGAGAGCCCAAGCCCTTACCATCTGTCCTCCCCCTCAGCTATGTCCAGTCCTGCATTTCTCAAGAAACGGCCCGGCATTCCGCCAGCGGGCCCAGGGGCCTCTGTGCCTTTGCCCTGGTTGCTCCCTCTTCCTGGAATGTTCCTCCTTTTCACACAGAGGCACTTTACCCTTCTCTCAAAACTCAGCTCAAGTGCCGCTTCCCTACTAAGCTTTTCGCACCCCTTTGGCGTGAGCTTTTTCCCCTCTCTCCAGTTCTCAGGGGCATTCTTGCATCTGTCCCCATCACGGGACTGCGAGGTCCTTGGGATGTGGGAGCATCTTACTCCACTCTGTAGCCTGCTTAACAGAGCCTGTGGGCACATCATTGAATGTTTCTCCACCTCCCATGGCACCTGTGGTCGATATGAGTTTCACACAATTTGGGATTTGCTGAGATCCTGCTCTGTATTGTTCACCATGTTTTCTTTATTCAAAATTATGTATTGAACACATAGTTAAGTGCCAGGGATGGCACTGGGGCACCAGGTTTCAAAAATGAATCCTACCTAACTAGAAGCTGATGGCCTAGTGTGTGTGTGGTGGTGGGTGGGGAAGGAATAGGTAACATTACAATGCATACACTCCCTGAAGGGGTGCTGGCCCCCAATCACTGTGAAACAGGGCTGGGCAGTAGGACAAGTGAGGTGGTTATATTCTTTGACCCCTCTAATTGTGTGTCCTCGGTTGACATCAGCATTTGCAGAACCACTTTATGGATGGCCCTTTCTGACCTAACGTCAGCTGAGCTCTCATCAAGCCCATTTGGTTTACAGTTAGAAAAATTCAACTTTACACCAATATTATTCAGTCCCTCAACACCCGATGAAATGTAGTAGGTACTTCGAAGGTATCTTCCATGAACTAACATGAAGTACGTAACAGAGTCAGAATAACTGTTTATCTGGCACAATGGAGTAATCCTTTTATTTTTTAACATCGCCTTAAGCTGTGTGTGTGTGTGTGTGTGTGTGTTTGTAGTTTTTGTTGGCAAGCTAAAATAAACGGCATGTTTCCTTGACTTTCTATTCAGAGCATGTGGAAAAGAATTTCTTTTTCTTGCTCGGAAGCATCACACAAGGCATTAATGCAGAAGGAACCGTCATGGGTGAAGGCTGTTCACCCCTTCTTACATCGAATGCCCCAGAACGCTGCTTTTTAAAAAGAATTCCAGAATATCTGCCTCTTAGTGCTTCACCTTTCACTTACTGTTCAGTCATTGTTTCTGCTTTTAGTGTGAGCCTTTTACATTTACTGCTTCTGATCTGTTGTGGTTATATTAGAAAACTAAGTAAGTTAGCTGTTCCCTAAAATAAGAATAGCAATTGGGTGAGAACTGAGAGGCTCTTCCTAG